CAGCTTCTTAATCGTTTTTTTTTTTATGGCCCTTTTTTTTTTAGTATCCTCACCATGAGAAATTTTTGTTTTTGGAGAGTGGGTTTTATCTTTTAAATATTATTTGTAAAATCTAGAATTAGGTTTGTCTGCAACTAACAGAACTAAATAACAGCAACTTAAATAGGATAGAATATTTTCTCTCGTACGAAACTCCAGAGGTGGGCAGTCCAGGCCTGGTATCCTGGCTCTCCACCATCAGCCCTCAGGGACCGAAGCCCCTTGCACCTGTCTGGTCTGCCATCCCAGGGTTTGGTCCTCATCATGGTGTAGGAGATGACGTTAGTACCAGCTCCACACAACAGCAGGTGGAGGAGGGCTAGGGGTTCGCTCGCTCACGGCTTTTTGAGGAAGGTTTCTAGAACTGCGACGTGACACTTCTGTTCACATCCATTGGTCACAACTGCACAGGGCAGGTGAAAAGATACAGTTTTATGGGTAACCACACGAACAACTAAAAGTTGTGGTTCTATTTCTGTGGAGGATAAGAAAACAAATTTGGGAAGACAAGAACGGTCTTTGCCACCCACTTTAGAAGTTATTTGACGTTAGCCAGTGAAAAAGTTTGGTTTTCAAGATAGATAATATAGTTTTGGATTCAAAGCCAAGTGAGGCTGTAAACAATTGCTGCAGGTGTGTGCGTGAGTTCGTATGCCCATCATGCTTGCACCTATAGGCAGGGAGTAGGGTAGGGTCTGTGTCCGATTCTAAGTGACTTCCAAAAATACTTCCAGCTTCACCAGAGTAAGCACATAGCCTTCTGTGTTGCCTACTTTGAAGGCAAATATTTCTTTAGCTGTGTAAGTTCTGTTAGTTGAAAGGATTTAGATTATCTTATTTTTGGTTACACTCACTGCTCTGAAATAGGGTCAGAAGAAGCCAAGTATTTTATTATTAGTGTCCTATATTGTTTGACTTCAAATATATTTTAACCTCTACAGAATTGGGGCAGTGGTGAGAGGCAAAGAAAGATGTAAATCTCCTTTTTTAAAAAATGATGGATGGTTAGAAAATGATGTTGTACTTGAAACTAGGATGCCAGCAGCATTTACCTTTTTCGTAGCATCCATCAATAAAGAAGTAAGAGAGCGAGGACCTTTATTCTTTTATTGTTAAGAGGTGGGGTAGGCTGGGTATTTAGAAAGTGAGCATGGTGGCTATCCTACTTCTTTTCCTTCTGTTTTGTTATTCTTGGATATTCTTGGGGAAGGCTTGGGGGGCGTTGTTTTTTTGTTTTGTTTTGTTTTGTTTTTATGGTGAGTGTGAATATTATAACGGGCAGGTGTGTAATGTCTCAGTATAGGATCAAATTTTTAGCAATTAGACTGCAGAGGCCAGCATCTTCATCTACTGTGTCAGACCCTCATTGCTTCACTCCCGCCCTCATGTGCTATTCTTTATTTGATCTCCAGGCCTGAAAATGAACTCATACAGCAATCAGTTACAATTTAAAATAATTGATTTCCTGTATTTAAAAATTTCGAAGCAAAAAATACTTCAAGTTTTAGTTAAGTCATCTTGTCACCCCAGGAAAATACTTAAAGGTGCGTGATCCACTCTCCCACCCCCATGAACTAAAATCTACACTGCAGGTAGAATAATGATCGAATTTGTGTTTTAGGACAACATTTAGGTTTTACCATCAAGGTTAATTATGTAAATGCTTCTGATATGACGAGATTTTTATAAAGGGAAATATTATCGAAGGTGGATTTCTGGGGTTGAATGGGAGACATGTGAAACAGCAAAGAGCGTTTCATTGCTGTCCGCACTGTGATTGCTCAGCAAAACCCACACGCGAACCAGGCCGGCTTCTGTAAAGCTTGAACAGATACAGATCATGTACCTTTGCTGATCTTCCTTCCCTTTTGTGCTGTTAGACATTTTAGACTTAAGAGTCTGTATTCCAACCCTGATAGAACTTATGCTTATGAATAAGAATAAGACATTTCTTAGTTAAAATACCGTTCCCCACATATCACTTTGTTGCCAAGGGGCAGTTAAGGTTTTGATGGTGAGATGACTTGGTTAACCTTGGGTAGTGGGAACTGGCGATTAGACTAAAGAGGAGCTTGACATGAACGTCACTGCGTGAACTGGAAGTCCTGTTGAGAGTCCTTTGATATAAATGCCCCTGCTGATGGTACATAATTCCCTTTGGTCAGCTTTTATCATACGTGGTATTTTAATTGCTTCCTATTCAATGTATTGGTGATGATTCCTGCTCTGAGATTACTGGGGATGGCTGAAACATGGCACCTGACACTAGGTTTACTAGTTACATGTACTCACTGCCCAGGGGAGGAGCACCCTGCATGCCAGGCAGGGCCACGTGAGGGCTGCGCTCAGGAATGGGGTGAGAGCCGTTAGCGACTGAGGGTGGCAGGCTTCGTAGTATTAAGAGGATGAGGTGACCTGGTTCCTGAGGGAGGATGGTATAGTTAGTGAGAAACATCCCCACCTTCTCTGATGAGGAGTGCCAGAGCTCACTTTTTCTGGAGAAACTCAAACTCCAGCTAACTTGTCCTGGGCTGAGCTTTAGGGACAGTTAAGCTGTGCTTGGATTCAGAGCTGGGGTTCCTTTTCCTGGATAGAGCCCTGCAGTGCAGGTGCCCTGAGCAGGCTGTGCTGTGACTGTTTTCAGTAAAAGTTGCCCCTGCTTAGCCTTCTGAGAGCAAGAGGGCTCTTCTCCTCAGTGACCGTGCTGCCTCCATCCTCCTGCACAGTGGACTCACAGTCTCAGTGTAGATTCTTTGAAAGAGTCATTCCTATGTTATATTTGGTGCTTTAAGTTTAGTTTAAACGTTAAAATCTAAATCCATAAAAAATAGCTTGCCACAAAAGTGTAAGTTTCATAGCTGTGAGGTTGCATCTACACTTGCCTATTAATAACTCAGGGAAGTGTTTAATTGTCTGACAATACAGTATAGCCTGTTAGAATTCCAGAATAGGGAAGTTGCAGAATAGACTGCAGGTTGATTTCAAAGAAACCCCTTGCTTCTAACACACTTGGGCCAGCCTGGGTATGTGCCGCTGTCCTTAGCTACCAAAGCCAGCAGCAGCCTGGGCTTTCATCACAGTGAAAGCTCCCCCATTTAGGATTAGAATAGTTTTTTTTTTTTGGTATTTCTGATGTTTTTAAATATGCTAATAAAAATGATGGAAAACATTAAAAAATAATTTTTTTTATTATAGTCTTGCTATTAGTAGTATCCTATAAATTTAAGAGAATAGTTATTTACTTTATAGTTCTA